TTTAATTATTGATTTGACAAGTGTCAAACTGTTAACACTTGAAGTCAGATATCAGTTTAATACGTAACTGGGTAAGTATAAAATTTAATTATATAATTTACACAGAAATTTAACATTTTCCAAGCGTGTTCTCTGAGTTATTGGATTCGTTTCTTAATTTTAGACAAACTATAAATATTTCGCTATGGTTTTCTCTAAGGTAGTTAGGAGATTGTTCATTTTAAAATAAATAAAAAAAAAAACAATTTTAGCTTGTGTCGGATGGGACAACATTGTACAAGTAACGATTGAGGAAACATAGTTCATGAGTAAAACTAACGCTACTGAATTCATGTGATATTCACCCTCATTGCGAGAATCGCGTCGAATGCAAATCGTTTTTCGAGAGTCGAATCGTATCGAAAATTTCACGTCATTGCCTAAAATTTCCACTCGACTAGTGCATTAAAACGGAAAAACGTGGCAGCACTGTACAGTTTTCGACGATTTTCGTCGTTTACTTATTTCAGTACGACAGTAGACAATGCCAATATTGTCGAGTCGTAAGATTTTGCTTAATTTACGACTTGCGCAATGACGCTGATTTATTACTAGCAGAGCACCCGACATCGTTCGGGGTAAACAAATCAAATATTCAATTCAGGATAATTTAAGGAGAAACTATTTTTTTCTGTTTAAATTAAGGCATCCTTATGAGACATACTTTTAGATTTATCGTGCTTCAACTACTATATATCGGTCATCATTTTCTGTACTACAAATCTTGTTCTATTATTAATGTTAGGTGCATTAAGGTAATGATAGAATTTTAAAATTAAAATTAGTCCACTACGGTACATTCCGTTTAGCTACCTATTCGCTTACCTGTTTTAGTATAGCTGAACTTTTCCGATAGAATGTTTATTTCGGAAGGAGTTTTATATATTATGAAAAAAAAATATATTTTTCGTTTAACAGCACCGCGGGATCAAAAAAAAATATTTAGTCTTTCCATTTCTAAATGGTCTAAAGACTGTAAGGTTTCAAAAAACACAGTTTTAAATATACAAGTGTTTTAATAGATGAATACATATTTATTCCCCTTTTACATTTACTAATTTATATATACTTTACTCTAAGCACCTCCCATATATATGGCTGCTTACCGAATTTGAAGTTCATGTGACTTATGGATCCCAATTTATGACTGGTTAAGGATTCCACGCCTCAGTAAGCACCTACCATAGATATGTATTCATACCAAAGTTCATATTCTTGTGAATTATGGTTCCGAAGTTGTAGCTTATAGAAAATATCACGCCTGTGGGATGTGCAACGACCCCTTCCAAAAAACTAATTTATATATACCTTACTATAAGTATTTACCATTGATCCTCACACCAAATCTCAAGTTCATCCGAAGTTATGTCTGTTTAAAACTTTTATGCCCATAGGATGTGCCATGCCTTCTTTTACAAACTTATTTATATATACCCAGAGCTGGGTAAAGGCAATTACATTACAATTACATTCCTCAGTAATTGTAATTAGGAAACAATTCCTTCATTTCACAGCAAAGGAATCGATTACTTTCTCAATTCCTTGAAGTAATTTTAAATGGAATTGTTTTTTTTTATAATTCCATTACAAGGAATTTCATATTGTAATTGGAATAAATTACGTGCTAGTAATGTAATTTTTTTTTCAATTCCTTTGAAAGGAATTGAAAATTTAATTTTTTTCCAATTCCTTTGAAAGGAATTGAAAATTTAATTGATTTTTTCGAATTCCATTCCTTAAAGTAATTTAAAAAGTAATCGAAAAATTTATAAAAAAAAAAATTTTACTGTTGAATTGCAATAGCTCTGTTAAATTTCTTGGTTGCTAACTGCGTTGAATAAATAACTTATACCTAAGTAGTATTACTAATTGGACTTTAAGAAAGCTGAATAACTTAAACTGTAGCTGTTCAGTTTATAGGGTAACCGTTAAATTTGCCAGATCCTGCCGCGAGAGACCCATAAATGCCGAAGCAGGCATAACCCGCCCGAATATGTTCATCCTTGCCTTTCGGTTGAAGAACAGTCCGGACTGTTGCTGCCTTGGGCACTGCTGTTCTCTTGGACTAATCCCTGCGTATCTATAAAAATGCACTGACTTAATTGTATATTTTATGGTACCCTTAATGCTAGCCAAAATGCCGTGCCTTCTGGGACCTTTGAAGTACTCTTACTGGTATCCTGCCACGGTGCAGCGAACTGAGGTGGCGCCGTCAGTGGTACCGCTACTTTGGTTTTGCCGATTTTGACAGTTGTGGTAACTTGTAAACAAACCTTCAAGATGCAAGATGCGTAGATGCAAGTGTAGCGCTGGGACGAATCGCTGCATTTTGTGTACATAGGGCACGGCAAAGCCGTTCCCGAAATGTTTCTTTATTATTACATTAACAGCATTTCCTCACAATGATTTTGCTTCTGCTCCAAGCAGCCTCCATTAGCAAGTTAACTAATCAATCCCGCGGAGATGCTGCCGCAGTCTTAATTGCAAAGCAATGGAGTGCACTAAAACGTTTGCTGAAGCAGCCTCAATTGCAAAGCAATGGAGTGCACTAAAATGTTACCTATTCTCTAATAGATTAGGTGAAAAATGCAATATTTTCGCGTTTAGCAAAATTAAAACACGTTTTTCGCTGTTAAGTGAACTGTTTTGGAAGTTTTAACTCGTTCTTCTTTTCGCTCTATTCTTTGTTTACTTGTGGTACACAAATGTCAACGCCCAGGACGGCGCAATCTTGTATTCTATCATTCTTGGTATCCTGCGTTACAAATGAGGATAGACTCCGCTTGAATTACGAGCCCTGTCGGACTGGAGATCCTACCTCCTAAGAGTTTTATAAACAAATTGCATTGCTATGGCTAAATTTTGATGATAACACTGTAAGGACGTTAAAATTACACAAAAAACGCCGAGCCACGTAAAATTAATTTTGGGTAGTAGGATACGGATCTGTATACCGTTATTTTAGATAAGGTCATTTAGTCGTTATTTTCATTTTATGTTTGCATTGCAAATGAAAATAATTCAAACTTTAACTTGGAAATTGTTACTCATACACCATGTATGAGTACGGTCATGTACGATATAGCGTATGAGTAACATTATTTC